CGAGGCTGAGCGCCAGCCGGGCTGCTCTGCAGTTTGCAGGCAAGGAGGGAATAACTTGGGGTTAGAGGAAGTTTAATTTACGATACCCGCTCGGCCTGTGAGTTCTCAAACCGTTCTGCTTAACATCTGCAGTGAACACACCTCTGTTTCCACTGACAACAGGCTCGCTGCCGCTGTGTGTGAATACAAAGCTTCAGGGATGTGTTTGTGTTGGTGACTGGCAGCTCCTAAGGGAGTTAGAAGCAACTTATGGTGCTGTTCACGAAACCTATGAGGAGTAAAATTAGTCTGACAGAAACTGCAGAGGAGGAAGGAACCGGCACTGGTTTGGCAGGTGGGATTCTGTGATGGACTGTGGGAACTGAGGTCCTGGGAGATGATTGTAGATGGCATGTATGTAACAACTGAGATCAAGCTCTCACACTAATTTCCTTCATGACTACAGTTCTCTCACACTGCCTCTCTTTCTTTTTAAGTCCTAATGAAAATTTCCTTCCTAGGGGGTGAAATGATACCAGCCTTACAATGGATTTCGGATCACTGGGTCTCAGTAGGCAGTCAGTACAAGAACACCCTCCCTCGTGTGTCCCACTGGGTTGAGACTTAATGAACTAATCAATGGGTTGGTGTTCTCAGCAGGAGCTGAATACATTACTGTAAGTGTTCCTTTTGGCCCAGCAGCGTCTTCTACCGTTATGGGTGTAATTCCAGCGAGGACTCACTGTTCATGATGGCTCTGAGATCCAGATAAAAGGTGACAGGAAAGTATTTTATTGTTCATGTAGTGAACATCTATCACTTATAACATTTTGACAGCCTGAAATATCAAAAGTCAGTTTCTGTCAGGTTTTACACGTATAGTTCATCGAGCATTACTGTGAATGAATCACAGACGTACTCTGCATATTAATCCGTCTTATTCACATTCACACAGACGACCGCGTCTTAAAAATGTCCATGTTGGACAAAGAAAAGTGCCACCTCTCAGTATCAGTCCCCAAAGCTCTCTGGATTCAGTCAGCTTTCTCTTTGATGGTTGTTCAGACTCTGCCCTCCATTTCTCCCAGTGCTACTAAAAGAGCAGATTACAGCAACTTCAAAGGGAAGGCTGTTTTTTTTTTTTCTGCTGTGATCCAAAAGAAGGAAAATGAGGGACAGATAGATCCGAGTAGTCAAATAGCCTTAGGATATGTAGTGGAGACCATATAGATGCTTGTCATGGTAGGTGATTGATTGTCACAGCACTGTTTCAAGCTTCAGCTGTGACTAATGGACCAGTTGAGCCATCTTAAAAATCATCAAATTCCTCATCAAACACATAATTACTTGACAAAGACTGCAGTGGCTTTTCCTCCCCTCTGAGGTTTTCTGGATTTTAGGGGTTTACCTCTAAAAGTGTTTCACTGAGCTTGTGTTGATTCAACAGACTCAAGCCTGTGGTTTTCTTAAGACACGATTTGTTTTTCTCCCCTTTTACTTTTTTCTTTTAAAGACTGCTGAGTTATCATCACCATTGCTGTTTCCCACCAATAGATATCAGATACTCTGTTGTTATTGTCAAATGATGTGTATCTATTAAAATAGTTTCATTTTGGGTTTCACGACTTTCTTCCATAAAACCATCCCAACGTTTGCGTCTTTACTTTCTCCCTCTGTGAGCAAATCCAGCTCCACGAACTCTCAAGCTGTCCTGTTGTTTGCAGATCCCATAGTGACATAATTTTGTCAAAAGCACATATCAAGTAATGATGCAGCCTAAACGTGGTAGAGTCGGCAGACATGGGGGCCTCTGCTCTGTTCAGAGGGCAGCAGCAGCACATGCAGATGAGCTGCACAGCTCTCATTCTGTCTCCTTTTTTCTCTCTTTTTAATGCAAATATAGATCAAATGAACAACTCAGCAGTTGTCGCTGAGCTTTGCATACATGTGATTTTTGTCCAGTGATTTCACAATGATAAAATCGGGATTTTGAAGTCTGGAAAATGCTCCAAATATTCCTCGTTTTTTCCTGTTAAACTGTTAACTATACTACACTGAATTCAGCTGGATTGAATTACAGTGTATGTGAATCCAGACAACAGCGAGGATGAGTTTTGACAGCTAATGCAGCGGCGTGGCGCTGCGCTGTAATTCGTGTCGTGTAATTATTTCTGGTTTAGAAAACAACAGCTCTACACTTCTAATTGTTTTTGCTCACGTCTCAGTATGGATCCATTAAATCACCAAGTAGTTCTGACCACCCCAAGGCCGTTTGCATAATCGTTCACCAAACATGTGAGTCATGTTTAAAGAGCTCATTTGCACTTTAACAATGCAAATGTATGACGGCAGAGGGGAAGGTGCGCTCTTAGCTCGCAGGCTGCCTCCTACAGACTTTCTTCCTTTGCTGTTCAGCAGGAAAATCACATGTGTAACCCGAGGAATGACGGGTGGATTTACATTTAAGTAGGCATGCATGGATGGGACCTGTAGTGGTAGTAGTAGAAGTGATTTAGAAGATGTTTGCTGTGAAAGCGCTCATTGATCTGGCTAAGGTTAGTGAGGAGACCGCAAGCTGCTCTGCCAGCATGGGAGCGAGCTGTGGGCTATTTCTTCCCAATCCTGTGCTTTTATCTCCCTTTTCATCCTCATCTCAGTCACGAGACGAAATATGATTTTAATTTCTACTCCCTGGTATAGACGTTGACTCTGCACCTCAGTGTCTGTGAGGTATTCGGCCGCATGCAAGCTGCTGTTTTAGATGCCGATCGGCCTGGACGCTCTCCAGCTCCTGTTTGCAGTAGTTTTAATCATCAAAAAGATTCCTGGACTTTTTGAAGCAAACTCATTACTTTACTGCCCTTTTGGCAGAAAAAGCCCTTTCAGCTTAACAAATTATCCAAGCTATTTTTTGTGGACATTTTTATTTCTGTATTTATTTGCCTCAGTTGAAGTGTCATGGCGACACTTAGCGTGAACACTGCTTACCACGCAGGGCTGATAAGCACTCTGTTGTTATTTGTTCCTCCTACACAATTAACCAATGTCTGTGTGCTTAATTAGACTTTCTTTCAGTCACATTTTCCTCCCACGCTGTCAGCTCCCAGGTTCCCAAAATGGTTGCTGTCAGCTGCACTCCACCCCACCACCCCCCACCTCCTATCTGACTCCACTGTATCACACACTGCACAAAAATACATGATCCCTTGACAGGCAAGTAAATTGGGATTTCGGGAGACTGTGGGGCTGCGTCCCGTTTCTCTTCTTTGATCAATTTTTTTAAGCACTTGTTGACACAGCATAGCACTCACTGCAGTGTGCTGAGTGAATGCCAGTTCTGCTGAGATGTACTTTGATGTTATTGTCTTGTAAAGGAAGATATGTGCAATGTGTGTTTTCAGAGAATAAGCAGGAACAAAAATCTGTCCCTTGTAAGACTTTGCCTTATATCCTGTATTTCCATGTCGCAATAAATCGCTCCACCTGTTTCCGATTTTACATGGATAAAGTTAACTTAGGTGGCAGCTCTTTTAGGATGTAATATATTATGAATATTTTTGTGGCCATTTTGAAAACTTCAACTAGTCATCTAGTTATAGACTAGAGTTAGCAGTGATATGATGCAACAGTGAGGGCGGATCAACCCAATACTAGGTCTAACAAAGCTGAAGAGGACTGCATGTGTGAAAGGCCATCTCGTCCCCGTTAGCGCTTCTCTGTTCTCGGTCTTTTGTAGAGCCATGGCTCTGAATAATTCAGCAAAGCAACAGCAGACTGGCAGAGCAGGAAAGGAGATAAATGGATTGAAGCTGATCTCGGGGCACGAGTACAGGAAGGAGCTTTTGACGTCACAATGAGCTGGGGAGGCATGTTTGGAGATTCAAGTGTTTGTATCTGAGTTGTGTGCCAGCCGGCCGTGAGTGTATTAGTCATCACTTAGAGTGAGAGTCTCTCTTTGAACCCCCAGCCCCACACCCCACACCCCAACCCTGTGAGATATTTCATTAATTCATGAATCCTCTGTGAGTTTCTGACCTGCAGGGTCTCTGTGGTATGTCCAGCTGTAGGTGTTCACACATCTCCATTCCGATGGCGTTTCACCTCCAGAGAGGCAGTCGGCTTGAATCGTGACACCGTAGGAAGCAAACAGTGTCTTGACATATAAGTGCAGGTGACTGAGCAGAGCTGTGAGTCTTACTCAGGTGTCTCCACACTTGAATGTGTCACAGCCCTTATTGAGCTATAATTTGCAGGCGGTGGGGAAGGTCGGTTTGATGCAAAATGTTGCTCATCGAGGTTTGGTGAGAATATTTTTAGCCACGCTAGTGATGGCTTTTGGGTGTGAGTGTTGAGGCTGGAGTATTTCTAGCTGATGCATTTATTGGCTAGCAGATCCCAGTGCAGACTACATCAAGTTTAAAGTTCATTGTGGATGAGTAAGACATCAGCTGTTGTGCCAAAAACTCAATTATTTTAATTGAACAGTAGCTACTATTAAAGGCAGGAGTTTCAAAGATTTTAGAAGATTTCAACCAGTTTGGGTTTTTGTCAGCTTTGATTGTTTGGGCACAAAAAGCTGATGCAGGAAAAAGCTGTACTTGGACTTTAGTGACTCACTACAGCCCAACTTATGTAAGTGTAAAGTGGTGCACTGAGTGGAGCCGCATAGTAAGAAATCAACAATAGTTCTTTTCCAGTGAAGAATTACTTCCAAACAGAAAGATACAAATTGAGTTCAAAGACCTCAAATCCTCCTCATCGGGCTTTTATGTACTCGTGTTAAATAGACATTTTGTTAGACACTGCCCTGCATCGTTACTCAATAGAGGCTCATTCATGGGAAAGTCTGTTTTCTTGTAACACTTTTACCTTTGCTGTCACTTTTTACGCGGTTATGGTAAAGACAAGAAGGGGAAACGCACGGTTGATGAAAATGCAGCGCTGTTTAAATGTTTGTTACGATGTGCTGCTCAACACACAGGAAGGATCCTGATTGTCTTTGTCTTGATGTGTGTCTCTAGGTGCCCCTGGTTGACTAAAGTGATCTCGCCCGCTGTGCCTCTCTACAATGGACTGGTCTTCCTCTTCGTCTTGGCCAACTTCAGTATGGCAACCTTCATGGACCCTGGCGTTTACCCCAGAGGTTTGTACCGACGCGAGGAGCTTTGAAAATGTTTTGATCACAGTCTGAACTGTAAACTTTCTAAGCAAAATCTTATTACAGTATTTATCTGCCATCTAAAACATTAGTGTCTGTCATAAAGCATGTGCACATAAATGTAAGTGCTACATGTAAGTAATGGGTAAACTCTGCTGAGTCCCCATTTAGAAGGTGCTCTTTATTTCTTTTCTTTTTTTTTATAGCACCACATTTATCAGAGAACCACCCTACAGCGTTTCATTACCCTATTATCTGCCTCTTACAGTCTACCAGCTTCACATGCAGGGCACTGCTGGAGGTTATACGAGCCTTCATATTGCACGGTGTATTAAGTATCTTTCAGCTGTTCAGCCTGTCAAACAAGCTGCACTGACCTCTGCTCCTGATGCAGGCAGACTCCTGAGTCTCAGCCATAGTGGGTACTGATAATTCACCCATCCCTGGACATGTTTAATTTGCTTCTTGATGATAAGGACCTTGCTTTAGAGAGTCTTTTCTGCTCATAAAGGGGAAATGATTAGTAGGTTGTGTATAGTGCCAGTTAGCCGCCTCCCCAGGCCATGACTGTAGCCTTCTATAGCAGCTGTCTTGTGTTTTATAGACTGGTGGCAGATGAGTTTTTCTAGGCACTTGATGTTATATTTGTCAGCCAAATTATAATATATGTGTCATCAAGACTGTAAAAGTAAAGTGCAGATTGAGGTCATGGACAGCACTTGCAATTTCCCCCTTTTTTTGAGGAAGCCACTAATTGAGGTGATGCACAAAAAAGATGACTGGGGCTAATGAGGCTGTGCAGTTATTAAGTTCATTTTTCTGAAGACAATTAGAAAGAAACTGAAACTTCAATAAAAATGCTAATGTTGTAGTTTGTTCCTGTTTAAAGGGAGTTTTCCTTCCCACTGTCACCAAGTACTTGCTCATAGGGTGTCGCTTGACTCTTGGGGCTTTCTCTTTGACGCGACTATTATTGTAATTTGGTGTTACATGGATTGAATGCAATTTTATTGAATTGAATTGAAGTACTAGGCCACCTATGTTTTACACCTACAGGAGCTGGTTGGCCATGGAAACACAACACCTCGATGCACAGTTTTTGTGTTGTTGTTGATGCCGGAGGAAGTTTGGAAGTCTGCAGTAATTGCGACAACAGAGTGCTGAGACTTTTCTGGATTATAAGCCTCAGCACTCTTTGAGCCCGCTCTGCAACTTTATATGTTCTGTCACTTCTTGGCTGAGTTGCTGTGGTTCTTTAACACTTCTACTTTGCAATGAAAACACCTGAATTCAGAGATTAAGAGGTGTGACCCAACATTTTTGTCCATGTAGGCTACCTCTATGTCACCATAGGAAATGGCATGTGTTTCAAGTGTTCGTTTTTTCACTCAAAGAGCAAAGATAATTTCATGCCCACTAACAGCCAATCATCACTGACCACAATAGTAAAATGTTTCTCCTTCACTGTGTTTAATTTGCCAGCTTCATGTCCTGTAAATATGCACAGTTCACCCGTTTGTGAAGGATGAACATCTGACAAAAACATATGCTGACGGTGACGATGCGCTGGGAAAAAAAGTGACTCACAATTCAAGAACAAATTGAGCATTACAACCTAGAACATGAATGATGTTCTACGTGGCCTTCACACTGGCAGTCTTTCAAGAACAAGCATTCAGAGCTAATGAAATGTATCTGAACATCACGCAGTTAACATAAAACAATGATAAAGAATCACACTGTAAGTACATACACACACAATCAGCTGCAAATAATAAAACTCCTTAAACAGTTCATACATATTGAAGCCCAGACACAGAATTTTAGGGGGTTCTGCTGTGTGTGGCTGGTACTCAGCATTGCCAGTGGATGTTTTGGACCATGAGGGTCGTGGCATCTGTGGATCAGGCTTTCGAGGATGCTCAATAGGACAGGGATGTGGGAAATCACCTTCTGCTCTTTGTTGCATTTCTCGAGAACAATCCTAAAATGTTTCGGAGTGTCAGGGGAAGGTGGCTGCCACTGGGGTGCGTTGTTATATTAAGGAGAGGAGTTTGTATTTAGTCTACAGCAATGCTTAAGTGGGTCAATGCTAGAACCCAATGTTTCCTAACAGAAGACTGAGATGATAGGTACCATCCACTTCATCTGTCAGTGACTTTAATATTGTGGCTGATGGCCGGTCGCTGTGGATGCGACTGGATGTAGGTACCTTAGTCTTTAGTGCTAAAAATAAAAACAAACTGTATATTTTAGGTCATACTTCATTTGTTTCCTGAGTTTCATGCAAAAATAGAATTGAGTTTGACAAAGGCGGTGTAGATTGTACGAAACAGGCCAATGCTTTGTTACCGAACAAGCTCGGATGGAGCATTTGGAGGAAAGAATCTGTCAGAGGAGATGCAAGCCTAACTGCTGTTTGTGTTTGCTGGTTTGGCAGGCGGCTTTGCTTCAAAATCTATTTGAATCGACTTGAGAGCCATAATAGCAGAGCAATCTCCCGCTATGGAACTGTTTATTTCTGTGCTCTACCTTTGCTGCTATCTTGCTTGGTTTCCTTCTGCATGCGTGTACTCACCTACCCGGGTCAGTTATTGCTGTACTGTGAAATTATTTTCTGAAGTTGGAGTTTCATGCAAATCGATCAAATGTGCTCCTTTGATCAGATGAAAGGCATGTTGCTTTGGTACAGCTCCACAGTAAAAACAAAACAAAAAAGCTCTCAGCTGCAGGAGTTGTTCCGTTTTTCTCTCTGCAGAGACAATAAGGAATACTTTGTGTATGGCATTGCATTTCTGCTTGTGGCTAACAGTTGCAGTTCATCCAACAGCAGAGTCGGACACTGGGAAAGCTCATACTACAGTTTGCAAAGTACGGGTTTAATTATCTTTTTATGTCAGATAAAGCAAACCGATAATTCTGCCAGGGTTTGAGGTCTAACTCCCATAAAAACAAATCCATTTTAAGAATGTATAAACTTGTGCGAATAAAGCCAGGCAGTCTCTTGCTCTACACAAGTCACACAGTTGATCAGCTCAAAGCACACCGAATAGGTCACGGGTTTGCTCTCTGCAGACATCTAACAGCAGGGTGGGCTTCGTTTGAGGCGCTTCCCTCGTGTCCCTGTCAAATGGAATCATAAAGCACAACCACGTGTCTCTTTCTGGGTTTGTTTGCAATGTCTTCTTCTCACCCACAGCGGACGAGGACGAGGATAAGGAGGATGATTTCCGGGCACCGCTCTACAAGAACGTGGAGATCAAGGGCATTCAGGTCCGGATGAAGTGGTGCGCCACCTGTCACTTCTACAGGCCGCCTCGCTGCTCGCACTGCAGCGTCTGTGACAACTGTGTGGAGGTGTGTGTGTGAATACAGAAGCATGAGTGCAAACAGAGAGAGTGTGTGTGTGTGTGGGTTCACTGCATATGAAATCTAAATATGCATCAAGGTCAGAGTAACATATAAGTATTTTATCAAGAATCTGTCCAGTTGGCATGTTCAGGCGTATTTGATATGAAAAATAATGCAGATTTTTTTCTTTTTTGCATATATTTAGACTTCCTGCCAAGGATTAAAGCAGGGAAACAGCATTTCTTATTATCTGTGTTTCTGGCAAGAAAAATGTCATCATTAAAGATTATAATTACTGGAATAAATATAAGCTTTTGGCAGCTTCAACAGTAAAATACTGTAAGACTACACATTGGTACACACACAGAGGCATAAAAATACACAGGGACATCAGATATTAATACACAAGATGCAGAATTAAGCAGCTTGTATTCCTGCATGTGTTTTTCTTCTAGAAACTGGAAAAAGGGGTCGAATATTGATGATCAAAACAATGAAATTAATGAACAGTTTTACAGGGATGTAGATGAATTTATGTCTCAGTAAGATTTAGGACTACCGGGAAACCACACATGCAATAGGCAGTACAAGGCATTTATTTAAGGCGCAGTGTGATTCGGAGTTACTGTTTACTGAAACAACAGGAGTCATAAAACTAGTTTCCAATTCCCAAGCAGTGCAGAACAAGGAGAAGAAGAACGAATGCCAGAGTTCGAGCTGTATGTATGAGCTGGACTGTACCTGATGATTAGGTGCTTTAAAACCTGCATTTTTATTTATTTCTTTTTCTGGCCTCCAGGTTCCAAAAAGAATTCTGACTGTGGAGAAAAAAAAGGTCCTCAGTCAGAAAATGTTTTCCTAAAAACTTTATGTTCTCAGTCCCTTCTATCAAGTCTTTTTTATAACAGAGCATGATGGTAATTTAGTAAATTATAGTCCCAGTTACAGTAAAATAGACCGTGAAGCTGTCTCTACGTGCAGTGTCCTTGATTTCTCGGTCACATGCCGGCCACAGCAAACACGCTCAACTGGTTGCTAAGGCACAAACAAAGGTGATGGTGACCACGTCTATCTTTTATTTATAATTTATGTTCATATGCCTCAAAAATAAGCAGAGTTTTAGCATTTGAAACCCCCCCCCCTCTCTCTCTCTGAACCAACTGTACCATCATGACTTACTTACATTGTGTGGGGGGGGTTTTTTTTCCTTCTTAAAACCTTAAAGAGTTCTTCCGATTGGTTTCTCAAAATTTCTAAATAGAAAACTCCCTTCCTTTCTCAGGACTTTGACCATCACTGCCCCTGGGTGAACAACTGCATTGGACGGAGAAACTACCGCTACTTCTTCCTCTTCCTGCTGTCGCTGAGCGCTCACATGGTGGGAGTGTTCTGTTTTGGCCTCATCTTTGTCCTTGATCACAGAGAAACGCTGGGAGCGCTGCACACCACTGTCACGTATCCTTACACGTTTGTAAATCCTACAAAAATCATTTTGTGTTATTAGCTTTAGATTCTTTATTATTTCTTGTAAACTTGCTTCCTTGTATTGTGCATATATGACTCGCACTGTGACCTTACATTATTATGACCTTGACCTTTGTGCTCAGTTTGGTAGTGATGTGCATAGCCGGTCTTTTCTTTATTCCAGTCATGGGACTCACAGGTTTTCACATGGTGCTCGTAGCTCGAGGTCGAACAACCAACGAACAGGTGAGGAGATGTTGCTGAAAAGGAACGTGCATTTATTAATCAAACAATTAGTATTGTTACTTTTTATTGGTGTAACAGCTCCACGTAGAACAAGAAGAAATTAGAAACTAGTTGAGCACGTTAAAGGCAATAAGCACAGACACACTTAAGGGAATATCACACACAACACTGAACAGCATAGATATTCCCATGCAAGACGCCTTGTGAATGAATTTTGGGTGTGTGTGTTCACACTTATACATCCTTGTGAGGACCAAAAATTCAACTGTTACTATACTTGTGGGCAGAGGTGTGGACTCGAGTCACATGACTTGGACTCGAGTCAGACTCGAGTCATTAATTTTATGACTTTAGACTTGACTTGAAAAAATGTTCTAAGACTTGTGACTTGACTTGGACTTTTACACCAATGACTTGAGACTCGACTCTGACTTGCCTGACATTACTTGAGACTTACTTGAGACTTGAGGATAAAGACTTGAGACTTACTTGAGACTTGAGGATAAAGACTTGAGACTTACTTGAGACTTGCAAAACAATGACTTGGTCGCACCTCTGCTTGTGGGGACCAACAGTCTTTTACGGGGCCCAAATTCTTGGCCCCACAAGTTTGAAGATCTTTTTGATGCTCAAAATGTGGTTTTAGTGTCAAGGTTACAGGTTATGGTTATGTTAGGCATTCACTTTTGATGGTTAGGATTAGGGTAAGCGGCTAGGGAAAGCATTAAGTCAATTAGATGTCTTCACTAAGATAAAAAGGCAAGTGTGTGTGTGTGTGTGTGTGTGTGTCCACTCTCTGTATGTTGGCCATGGCCTTGTGTTTACTTTGCTTCCAGCTGTAAACCAGCATTTTGTTCTGCAGGTGACGGGCAAGTTTCGTGGAGGAGTAAATCCTTTCACCAAGGGTTGCTGTGGCAACGTGGAGTACGTTTTATGTAGTCCCCTAGCACCCAGGTAAGATGCTTTACTATGCTGCGTGTGTCCATAGTATGGGTAGCTAATACATTGTAGAAACTGTCTTGTCTTCCTGTTACATGCAGTACATCAAGGCAATACACGTGCATATGTATGCCACAGCTTACTCATGTGCCATGAAATCCATGCTGTACCAGCACATCACTGCAGTGGTAACACAAGCACATGCTCTGAGGTAGCTACAGAGGTGTTCTGCCTGAAAGCAGCCAGCAACCCTGGGGGGGGGGGAAAGGCAGATGGCTGAGGGAATTGGCTCACTCTGTAGAAACAACAGTTAATGGGAAACGGCGCGGAGCTAGCCAACCTGCTTTTTGCTCACATGCACACAGAGCATCACTAAAACCCGCCCCATTACACCCTATTGGGATGAGCCCCATCCCATAAAATTCAACAGTGTGACTGCAGAGAGACAACAACAGGTGGGGGTGAAATGTTGTGTGGTTGCTGTTTAGCTGTTGCACAGGCCTGATGGGATCCGCTTTAATTTACTGAATCAGTGACTCATATAACATCGAACCTGACTGGGAGTGAGTCTGACAGCAGAATCATTATGTTTCCTGTTTTTATAAAGGCGTTGATTGCTTGAATATGTCACGACTGCTCAGAAAACATGGAACAGTTTTTTTTTTCCTCAAGTTTCTGCAGCGACGGCCCTGAAAAGCCAGCTAAACGTGCGCATCTGTGTGTGAAATGTCTTTTGTAAAGCATGCAGCAAGTCAGTTGGGATACCGGCATGTCAGTGCATGACAGAGAGGCTGACGTGCGTTGATAATGAAGTATAACTTTCAGTAGATGACTGTAAATAACCTGTTTGTTAATGTGCTGTAAATTTTTCATGAAGGTACATGCTGGACCCCAGGAAGAAGCCACACGTCAAAGTTCAGCCCCCGTTCATCAGACCAGATCTCTCAGAAAGGCAAATCACCATCAAAGTCACCGACAACGGTATTCATAGCACCATCATCAGCTCCAAGGTGACTAGCTTGCACTTACTAGGGAGCTTTCCCTTGTTCCTCTATCGTTTGTGGCTCGACACAGTCCTTTTTCCACTACAGAGGACACATTAGTGCGATAAAGCAGAGCTTTAGAATATTATTTAACACCTTAAAGACGGACGACTCAAATGGGGAAAATTATTTGAGTTCAAAAGGATGTGGTGAGTCTGACTAAATGTAAAAGTAAGCATGTCTGCAACTGATTTGCAAATCTCACAAACCTGCAATAGAAAACGTGTTCCACATTTGATGTCAGCAACATGTTGGGACAGTCCCATGTTTACTGCTGTGTAGAATCCCCTCTTCTTCGTCTGGGAACTGAGGAGACCAACTGATGCACTTTTGGGACAGGAATGTCGTCCCATATTTGTCATATAGACGATTCTAGCTGCTCAAAAATTCTGGGTTTTCTGAGTCATATTTTTTGTTTCATGATGCATCAAATTGATGAAAGGTCGGGACTGCAGTCGGGAGAGTTCAGCCCCCTGTACTCTACTGCTGTGAAACCACTTTGATGTAATAGATGCAGATTTATCGTTGTACTGGTGAAATATGGAAAGACATCGTGTGGGTGGGAGCACATGTCCTCTAAAACCTGACTTTCAACATTGATGGTGTGTTTCCAGATGTGCAAGCTGGCAGTTATATAGGCACGGGTCCACCTCCTTACAATAAGAGATGCAGGCTTTTGAACTGGGGGCTGATTGTATGGAGGTATTTAAAACGAGCATGGCCCAGAGAAGACAGAAGAGTTTCTGAATCATGTTTGCATACAGCTTCTTCTCTGCTTCTTTGATAGAGCTTCAAATCTGTATTTGCATCTTGTCCCTTGCACACAGATTCCTCCAGATTTCCTGAATCTATAGTACTTACTGTAGGCAATTAAATATGGTAAATGGCCTGCATTTGTATAGCGCTTTTTACTTGTCCCTAAGGACCCCAAAGCGCTTTACACACTCAGTCATCCACCCATCCACACACACATTCACACACTGGTGATGGCAGCTACATTGTAGCCAGACCACCACCAGTAGGCAACGGGTGAAGTGTCTTGCCCAAGGACACAACGACTGAGACTGTCGAGGGCTCGAACCGGCAACCTTCCAATTACAAGGCAAACTCCCAACTCTTGAGCCACAATCGCCCTTTTTTCTAAGTTTTCAAAGGTTTCATGTTTTACACACAGTGTTGTTGCAGTTTAGTGAAGCTCTGCCCATTTTCATTTCTGAGGAACTCTTTAGGATGCTCTTTTTACACCCTGTCATGTTACTAAACCTAAATTAGACACCAAATGTTCCTCTAGCTGCTTCTTTTTAGTTCCAACCACTTTTCTAGCACTTTTTCCAGCTTCCCTATTTTTTTGAGAACGTTTGCCGCCATCAAATTCGGTGTAATACAGTAAAATGTCCCAGTTTAAGCATCTGATATGTTTTCTGTGAAAGCAAATTGGCTTTATGAGTTTTTGCAAATCGTAGCATTCTGCTTTTATTTACATTTTAAATGGCGTCCCACATTTTTTGGAATCAGGTTGCACTAGCATTTATCCAGGCCTGTATCATTAATGTTGAATCGGTCATGTTGAACTTCGGTTGTCATTAGGAGCCTTGAAGTGCTGTGTGAGCACTATGGTGCACGCTACAACTTTTATAGGCACTAAAGATGATCCTAGTATTCATCAATAATGTATGGAGTGAAAAGAATCCATTTAGCATTAATCCACAGAGGACAAGAAATACATTTCCAGCTCTTATCCTCCACCAGTTACTGCCCATAACACAGAGACTGACAACAAATCTCACAACAAATCTTTTCTTATGAATGCATACACTGATAACACTGTATAACAATATGGCTACTTTAATACTAACAAGACTTGTGTCAACATATTATTTCATTATTATTCAAAAATACAGGGGGTTATGCAGAGGATGGCACAGATACCTCAGTTCACTTTAAATCTAGACTGCTGCGCACTTGCTGATAAATTTGGGGTGAAACACGTGCGTCAGAACGACTAAACGAATGAAATATTATATTGAGCAATTCATATTTGATTTGACCCACAGGTTAGACTAAACAGACTGAAACTTGTCTTTTTGCCTTTAAGGGGCAGATGAGATATGGAAACGAGAGCCGGCTGGGAAGTCACCCTTGGATTGTCCCCAGACTCTGGAACGTTTTTGTTCCTTATGTTGTTAACTTTTGGAAAATCCGAGTCGGCTTTCTTAAGTAGGCCTCGACTGAGCAGTTAATTTTATTGCAACTCCCTCTTCTTCATGTCTGGCTGAAGTTTTGTTTTGTTTTTAGTTAACCATGGTTTGTCGCATCTATGGTTTGGGAAGGAAAATATTAAGAGGAAAGTTAGCTTTATTACAATGGAGTAATTACTTCCTGGTTTCTGTGCTTAGTCAGGGATCTTTCTGCAACTAGGATTGATTACTTGGATTTTCTTTTCTGCCTGTAACTTAAGTTCTTAAGAGCTGGCTGAGAGGTACTGGAGAAAATTGTATTGATTGCTAAATGACAAAGTCGTGTCATTTGAAGTTTGGTGCCATCTCGGCCTAATAATGCAAGTTTTTAAAGGGAAGAAATCTGCAGACGGTGACTTAAATAGAAGCACAGCTGACTTCCAGCTCAAGACTGCGTCAGCTGCTACCAGCATTACATCCCTTAATCTGAGAATCTTAATCCAACTCTGCCGTTATTTCTTTTTTTCGTTTTACAGCCACTACTAAGTATAAATTTAAACGTAGACTAGTTGCCATGTGCAGGTTTGCCACCCCGAAAACCCTCTGTGACACTTTGTGTTTGTCTCCTGTCTTTCGTGTAGTCCAAAAGCAGCCTCGATGGTTTAGATGACAAGGATACCCAGCCGCCGCTGCCACCCAAAGCTGATAGGTACAACCAGCTTAAAAGCCAGATGACCTCCAGTGAAGGTAAGAACCACAGAAACAGCCCTGACTCCATCTCTCTCTCTTTCTCCTGTCAGTCATCATCAATCCAAGTTCTTGTTCTTGTCACGGTTGCACCAAAGAGCAATTCCCAGAACTTCCTCTGTAGATCACTAGTGTCCTGGTTTGGGAGCAGGCTCTAGATTAGCCTGATGAATGTCCCTCCCAGCGGCAGGTTGATGGCCTTTTTCACGCCTGGCCAGAAAATCGGCCGTGATTTGCAGGCAAGCTCTGCTCTGTGAATCAGCACCAGATTTGTGGTACGATTCCAGGGTGAAGCATTACAACGTAAATCACCACCGTTTTTCGGGTAGGGGAGGGGTACAATGGCAACTGAAAAATGCCTTTTGAAAACCATCCGTATAAACGACGAACCTACCGTGGAGGTACAGCTAAGGATTTTAGCCTCCGTTCAGCAGTATGAAATGGTTTATAGTAGTGTTAAGGGCAGGTTTCTTCCTCGGATCTCCAGTGTCATGGTGCATTATGTCAGGGACTGGAAACTTTCTGCTCTTCCAAAGAGCACTACTGCTGCCTGGTGGTACTTCAGGTCACTGCGCCCAGTCTAGCGTCACCTCGCCTTTCGAGGCACTTTACTGAACTCTGAACCTGTGGACACAGGTGTTCTTTGCGTGTTTCTCCAAAAAGATTCAGGCATCCCCGCTGAGACATGGCTGCCTGCTAAAAGCACCTTCTTTAAATGCATTTGGGTTTTGCATTTTACTCAAGAAGAGTGTTGTTTTTCAGTGATGGGCAGTTGGCTGTTGCTGGACTCAGATGTGTTAAATATTAGTTGCAGAACTGATTCTTCCCATCTGGCTATTCCTGTTAGTTTTGTTGTGTAGAAACTGTGATTGTGTGGTTTTGCAGAACTCTACAGCTTCTTATCTCTTGTCCTTATATACTATAATGTGTTGTTGCTTTAATGTGGAGTTTTTTAACACAGGGTTTATATTGTGTGTATTGTAGAGACTTCCCTGTCTGGTAAGACCCACCCATCCACTCCAGCCATGTACAAATTCAGGCCAACCTTTGGCACCATGCCCAAAGTCCACTACCACACTACAGAGGAGAAGGTAACGCATTAATGTTATTATCTATTATACATCTCTGTGAAACAATGAACAGTGAGTCATCGTAAAGTGCCAAAAGGCTCAGATGCTATTTTGACATTTGCCCCTCAGATTGTCATATCTGATGACCGGAAGCCCTCGGCCATCCTGGAAGAAGGTGTCCGTGGTCATGACTATCGATCTGAGCCGAACCTGGACCTGCCTGAATATGCTAATGCTCCCCTCCACCGCACGTTTCAGTCCTCGCCCCTCCAGCTGGATTCAGACCCCATCAACTCCCGCTCTCTCAGCCTCAAGCAGGGTCATGGCCGACCGGAGAAGGGCCAGCTCCCAGCACTGGAGCCACGGACAGTCACTTCAACCCCCTACAAGAGTGTCTTCTCTCCCAATAATCTCTCCAACCGCAATGGTAGTCTATCCTATGACAGCCTGCTCAACCCTAGCATTTCCCCAGCTACTCCCAGTGAGTCCATGGCCCACCGTGGTGTTCCCTCTGTGGGGTTCCACTCACCCTACCTGCCCACCAAAATGTGCCACATCCGGGAACCTGATATGCAGAGACAACAGGTCCCCCCTACCTACAGCCCAGTGATGCCCCCCAGAGTGGTGGGCAGACAGTCCCCTCACCTGAGGGACAGAGACCCGTCTCCGGTGCGCTACGACAACCTCTCCCAGACCATCATGGCATCCATCCAGGAGCGAAAGGAGAAGGAGGAGAGGGAGAGGCGGCAGATGCATCACGGGCGCTCCCAGACCCATATCTATGCCCAGGACTCTGGTGTGTTTGATGGGGGCTATGGCCTGCCTGCCAATGCTTGCTACCCAGATGGGCCTCGTGGCCCCGGGTCAAGAGGCCCAACACCTCCAGCCTATGGAGGCTCCAGGGACAACCTAATGGGGATTGGACTGATGAGCTATGGTCAAAGAACCCCAGTGCTGCGTCATGCTGGCTCTACACTGGGCCGTGCACCTAGGACGTCGTCCACCTCCCTGCACACAGATCAAAGCAGCATCAACAGCAGCCAGAGCAGAACCACAGGCCCAGAAGGCCCCTATCGCTCCCCGGCCCACCAGCCCCATTCCCCCGCTATGCCCCGTTCCCCTTCTTACTCCCGCCAGAAACTCTCCTACATCAGTGCACACGAGAGGACAGACTCCCCTCGTCTAGGGGGCCCAAGGTATGAATCCTAATGTAACTCCTGGGGTACTGCATGCATTGTACAGAGCCGGGGTCTGGAGGTCACTGAATGTATTCTGGATGGAAACGCTGCTCCCTCTGCTGGACACAACCAGCAATACATAGGGCACTAGGGTACTGCTAATCGAGGCAACATGTAGCAGTTGTGTCGTGTATGGTTTTTTTTGTCCCACTGTTCTGCTCATTTATTCACAAGTTATGTCTGGTGTGTGAAGTCGTACACATTCTGTTTTGATTTGTTTGTTTGCCTTTCTAGTAGAAGTTAAAAAAATCAATAACATTTTTTTGTATTATTTCAAACAAATCTGTTGAATAAAACTGTGTGACAATCATTCCTTTTTCATTTTGCATGCTCTTTACTGACTCCACTAACATTTTCAAGCCTTTTACTTTACTAACAAGTAAACACTTGACTAATCATCCACGTTGCTGTCTTGTTTTTTTTTTTGGGTGGGCGGGTTCTGACTGACATATAAAATTGTGTTGCTGTTCCAACTGATGTGCACGTTTTCACATCCCTTAGTGTTTGATTTGTTTGTTGAATCATTTCTTATTCTTCTCTTTCCACTCAGAGAGGCCATGAAAGTTAATGGGCAGATGGACTGCCACCCGAGTGCCCAGGGTGCCGCCCTCAGTCCCAGTCGCCACAGTAACGTCAAAAAGGTGACAGGCGTAGGAGGCACCACGTATGAGATATCAGTGTGAGCAGGGACACCACATCCACCAATGACCCACAGTGGACGCTCTGCCACAGAGATTCTTCTCTGTTATTTTAATAAGATAACAGGCAGTGAGGGGTGCATAGTACCCCCCCCTGTTTACTCTTCAAAATCAGAGGATCTCTTTGCTCTTTTGAGGGTCTTGTTTAGCTATATGCCCGTGTGTGTTTGTGCCAGAGGGGTGGGTTGTCGGTTGTTAACGTTGCAGTGTTTGTCCTTAATATTTTGTAGTCCATCGTCGTGGACCGTCCAGCGAGATCGTCAATGTTTTTACCGTCGTCTCTCATCTGTGTTTATGAAGCGCTTGTTGTTCCAAATGTTACACGCAAACTTTCGCTCCAGCGAACGCTGAGGGCTGAACAGAAACACTACAGATCGATTAAACACTTGACTTGCTACGGATTTCTGCAAGAAGACTCTTTTCAGCTGACCTCAAAAAGTCAAGGTGCTTCACATTAACTTGTACTGTTCATGCCATGTCTGGTGGAGATGTGATGGAGGTTTATGTGGAGACGATATGTGCAAGGGCAGTAAAAAAAAAAAGCAACACAAGTCAGATGAGAAACTGGAGATGGTGACAAGGAAAGAGCTCTGCAGAACAGGAGCGGGTGTTCCTCAACCCTGACATGGTTATTTGATTGGGCAAAGACTGTATATAAAAGATGTTCCACAATACAATGACATCACCCATTTGTTTGGAGATTCCTGTTTTGAAGGACTAACTTTAGGATTTAGCTGAGTTTTTTTCTCTTTTTAAACACATTTGAAACGGAGGGCACAGCTGATCAGTTAACATTAGTTAGCATCTTCGATCAGCGGATTGCATCTGTTTTATACTGTGACATCAACTGGATGCTAATTTTAGCCTGTGAAAATCAGGCTTAAAACAAACTGCACTTACTGCAAAAATCAAACAGAACAGCTGACTCATTAGTTGTCCGACTAGCACTGGTTTAGTATGCTAGAGAAAGTGAAGGGTGGAACAGAGGGCACTGCACATCCCAGTGTATCCCCTGCCTGACCGTCTCCTTTTGTCATAAATGGGACCATGTTTTACTAAATTAACACCATGGAGTATTAAAAAAACCGACATAAAAACAACTTGATCCTAGCTACTGATACCATGATCTCATTTGGAAGATGCATTAGAAATCAAGTGAGATTTAGGATTACTTTTTCTTTTTGAATTCCATAAGACTTGTTTTGTGTAACCAGAAGTGTTGCCCCCTGCTGGCTATTACAACAAATGCAGGTTTAAGGCACTAACGTACTGGTTTCACTTTCAGAGGGATCCATCCATCCTTAAAGCACGTGGTAAGGGGTTGAGGAACACCCACTCTTCTACAGAGTACCTAACTTTTACTTTAGTTTTGGGTGGTTGCATTCCAAATTTAATGAAAAAGTCGCTTTTAATGAACACACTTTATTTTTCTAAAGAATTTTCTCAAGAACTCATGCATGCAGAGATGCAGGTTGACATTAAATTGAATATTATAAATGTCTCCGCTTCCTGTTTGTGGAGCACAGATTTTTAGAGTTGCAAACTAGCACAGCCCCGCCCCTTTACCCCGTAATGAGGATTCAGTATCCAATCATGGCTTTTTGTTTTTTCAGTTTGTGATTTCAGCATCAGCCACATCAAAAGAGCTGGGGTGATTATATTGTGCTCTGAAAGACCAGAATACCTCATCCCAGTGTTTTTCACTGAGTACAGAATGAGTCCACCCCGGAAGCAACCAAATGAAACCTTGTCAAACTCAAAAAAGGAAAAATATTTAGTCAATAAGCTATGTTTTTGCTATAACTATACATATAGGAAGATTAAATGAAACAAATCAGTATCAGTTAAAAAAAACAAACATTGGTCACACTTTTTATTTTGTACTTTTTTTTTAAAAAAGTATCCTTTTATATGGAATTGCTGTTTCGAGTGGAGTTTGTTCTTAAATTATAATTTCAATAAATGGATGAGATTGTGAAAGATGGGTAAATAAAGTAGATAGAATTTGTTCTACATGGCAGTGTTAAAAACAGAAGTTATGACATAATCCACAATGATATGAACTGTCTAAATGACGTTGAGGACTGGGCTTTGCATAAAAGCAGCCTTGACCTTTAAGTGCCAAAAGCGGCTACACACCACATCTTCAAAGAGACAACAAATAGGTCATGTAATGCTATGTCACAAAGAGTGAAAATGCCAAATTCATTCATTCGCAGTAGCTGTCTGGTACAGCTCTGGCACTGCCGTTACTTTTTTGTTAATCAAAAAAAAAAAGTAATACCTTTAAAATAGCTGATGAAAACTAAGTGGACAATGACACAACATGCCAGATGTTACTAGAATGTAAATGTTGCATTTGGTTGCATTAACAATAAGCCATTGTTGCCTTTGGGAAGAAACTTTGTTTCCATACAAAGCAAACTATGGCTGACTCACTTGACAGTGAAATAGCAGAAGTGTTTTGTACTGAGCAGCAGGTGACACCTGTGACGATCTCTGACTGGGTACGCTTTCTTGAACCTTCTGTGGCAAGAGTTGTCTCCCATTTAAGGTCTCACCCAGTTGCCTTACCAATGAAGACATTACTGCAAAGCACGGTCGCGCTCGTCTGTTCCAACTCCTGTATTTGAGAAATGATTAAAATAGTTTGTGAGGCTGTGGTATACAGGGCTAGTTTTTTGGAAATTCGGACGGGTAGGAATGTCAGCGGAATGGCAAAGTGGAACATCTTGAAATCCCAGAACAGACCAATGGCTGCTGAGTTTGCTGAAAAAGCCGATCAATCGTGACTCCCAGACCCTGTTTGACCACATATCTAAAGAGCTAATCGATGTCATTCCTCTTTAAGATGACTGCCGTTAGTCCAATGTTGTTTTTCTGGGATGGACATCACTGCAGGTCAGGGGCCATTCCTGACAGTCAGCAATGACTCTGTTGCATCAGCCACAAGCTGACTTTTGTTTTCTGAAACTCATATAGAAAGTTCAATGTGTATTAAAAATGAAGAATATACTGTAACTGTACATGCGTTCCTATTTTTGTGAAGAGGAAATATTTCCCAATGACCTGAGCAGAGTAAATAAAGTTTCCGACTCTTTGAATCAGACTGATTATTCCTAACAACAAACGAGTGACTTTATATGAATGCAAACGTGTGGTCTTTGACAGCTTTTATTCGAAGTTGGACGAAACATTTCAAATCATTTGTGCAAATGAGAAGCAACATTTCATCCATATTCATGTATTTACAGATGCACTGGCACTTAGATGCACTTCAGAGGCAAGGTTAAGAACTCAATTAGTGGAAAGAAAAGGAGAGGGTGGTGAGCACACAGATCAAAGAGGGCACACTCTGTTACATATACTCTACATGCTTTAAAGTCTGGGAATGTTATGATCTAAACAATACAAACTTGATTTACTACTGAGGAACGCAAGTCAGAGCATAGCTGCACCAAACTGATGGACTGTTTACTTTGGACTTGATGTTTGTCAGGACAAAAAAAATAAAATAGCTAAGTGCATCTCATTTCCTATCAGTCAACCATCAGTGCACACTGCACAGAGCAGTACTCATCTGATGCCCCTCAACTTTCTGGAGTGGATTCCCTTCAAATCAGTTCCCAACAGAACTGACCAAAGAAGGAACTACTTCTGCAAGGCAGTCAGTGAGAAGTCTTTGCCTTGTTGTCTAACAGTAGGAGCATTAACAGTGGACAGGGTAAGGCGGCCCACTGAGATGCAACATGGGATTTTATACTTAAAATGCACCTCTGTAATACCTGTTCAATGACCCTGCGCTGCCATCGAGCAGGCTACGTTATCCTCTCCCTCTACAAACAAAACTCTTTATCAGAATAGCAAAAACAAACCAAACAAAAAAAATACCCCAATGTGGGAATCATCACTATCACAAGCCTCTTTTCACAGTTTGTTTGAAGTAACATTGAACTGTAAATGACAACGATGGAAAGCATGGCATTCCACGGTGCAAAGAGGGAAAGGGGTGGGAAAGGAAGGACTTTTTCCAGAAAAAAATCACTAGCGTGTATTTTTTCCCCCCATTGGCATCAAGGACTTGTGATCTTGAGGCAAAAAACAATAAAAAGAAAACCTAATAATATTATGCAAGTGTCCAAATTCAGTTCGTTTAGAGTCTATTGTAGAAAAAGAGGAAAAACCGATATATTGAAGATCAGCAAAAGCAAGTTCTTGGTTCTCAATTCTTCTCATCCTTCACCTCCTTCTTCTCAGTCTCCTTTTTCGCCTCTTCCTTCTTTTCCACTGATGCCTTGTCTTTCACAGAGAGTTCCTCCAACTTCTCTGCCACCTTGTTCGCACTATCGCTGTTGCCTGTGAAAAGCAAACAGGGATAAGTGCCATTAGCTAAGAAGCAATGCTGCATTCTACAGCTTTGACTGTTGTGTTGTAGAAATATTACCTAAAACAAAATAATCAAAAATAAGGATAACCCAATAAAACAACTGAAATTGAAACGCTGACTGACATTTAAGGGGTTAGTCAGGAAAATGATCCAATATTCATCTGTAAGAGGCACATGCATGTAAACCCAGAGTTCAAATAACAACCAGATGTTTACAGTCACCAGGATGACAATCAGGTGTGAGCATGAGCTCCAAATGTGCGGAAATGTATCAAGACTGATACAATGGTTTGAATGAACAATGTTTTGTTGATGAATTGGATTTTTTTTTTTAATCTTTAAACAAGAAGCATTCTGTTTGGAGAACTTCAGAAGCTCATCCCATATTAGTGAGACGTGATGGTGCTATGATTGAGCTAGAAATCAGTCCACCCACCCTGAAAACCAGCAAATAAATAAAGATACATACATGAACTGACACTTAACAAAAAAGAAAATGGGCTTTGCAGCAAAACAGTGACCCTCAGCATACACATCTTGTCGAAGAATTAAATTCATGGTTTTGAAAGGTGCAGAAGTACAGTAGGTTTACTCAACACACTCTACAACAGTCTAACCTTTCTATGACACGAACACCATGGGCCTGTGAAAACTGAATTGTAATGTAGCAGAACATACCGACACCAGTCTTTTAGAAAACTAGTAAAGTGTTACATTCTGCGTGTTCATGTAGCAGACAGAAAAAGTCCCCAGCTGAAGTTGGCAGCAGAGAACAGAGTGTGTCTGCATGCTCACAGCCCCTATCCTCATGTCACATTGCCCTCAGTTTGAATTCAGTCTTAGGTCAACACAAGTCATTTTAACCTTAGCAAAATGTTGCATTCAGGGTTCTGAAAGTACTTGCTACTGACATGTTTCCAAGTAAAATTACTGACAATTCCTATCTAATGTTGATGTGATCTACATTATGGACTCGTTTATGTTGACAAAACTGTTTTACTTCACTTGCTTCTCAGAAAATTCACATATGCGATATCTAGGGGGGGGAAAAAACCTAAAAGTTTAAGCTTCATGTACCTGTTTGCTCTAGATGTTTTCTGACTTCCTCCTTGCACTCGTCAAACTTCACCTTGAACTTCTGAGCATCTGCAACAGAACATAATGTAACATAATTTAAAATCCAAGTTAAAGAGCTCTGGGAGAATTAATGTGTAATGTTGAAATGGGTACCTAAATACTTACTTTCAGCATTTAAAAAGCGGATTGCCAGAAGTTCAGGTTTGGGGCATTCATCTGCATAATCAGCTAGTGTGTTCCACACCCATGCTCTGTCACTGCCAGCATTGGGCTTCAGCTCCATCATTGGTAAAACTGTGGTTAACAAGAACACATAAAGTGCTGGTATGAGCACAGTCACTTAAATAGATTTTTTTTTTTTAATATCTAGTAGTTTCAATTGGGAATTAAACACACAGATGCACCATTTCTTATCTCCACACATGAGTGGAGGGAGGAGTAAAACACACATTTTTCCCAATCAAACCAACACACAAAAAAATATCACAGTCTGGATAATATCACAACCGGATGAGATTACAAGCCCAGTACCTCTAACACCCACCCCTCAACCTCTCGTTTGCTCATCTATAGTTCTGTTGTTGCCACTAATACCAGGGATTTGACTCATTTAAAGATCGTGGGGAAGGGTGACGGGGGGAATCACATGGGGCCTATGGTCTTTTTGTACTTACATGTACATCAGAAAATGTTTGCAATAAAAACAA